CAACCAATTGTTCCTTGTGACAGTTAAAAAAGAAAACCTTAAGACAAAGATTCTCTCATGTTTGTGTATGAACAAAGTGAGCTGATAATTGATAGCCAAAGGTACTCTCTCTCAAAGGCCTCAGTAATGGCAGAGGACTAGCACCCACCTTTCTAGGGTTGCCCATCTATTTACAAAAGCCTATCTCTCTTTCTCTCTCTGTGTGTGGCTGGTTGGCTGTGGAATAGACTCCTCAATTTGCATTGTTACATGACAAACAGAAAATAGTATCCAACCTTGGGTGGACAATAGAACAGATGGTAATAATGGTCCAATCACTGTACTCTCATGCATGCATAACTGATAAAATTAATACAATAAGAGAAATAAGAGAAAGAGAGAGAGATAAGCTCTAAAAGAATCTGATGTGTTACATACACATCAGACATTTCTCCAAATCAATCAGGAATGAGAATAAGAATAAGAATATATATTGTACACACATATATGCCTAGCATCCGTACACGTCATTCAACCGAATGGGCTCTGATGGTTCATCACCATATTTGAATGACCCAGTGATGGGCCTTGGGTTACATGGGATGGCTTCAACTCTCTGTGCACGTGAATCTTGTTTGGTACACTTGAATTTTGCTTGATTTTGATAAAAACACAAGTATTTACATCTCTAGTCTGGTTTAGACCGAACCGGTCTGAAGGGTCGATTTCATGGCCTATAGAAACTCCAATTGGGTCCATTTCGTACCTATTAATGTCAATGATAACAATGTCTGAAACCCCTGATCACATGCTGATCTCATTAGTGAGATGGGTCATCCTGAGTCACTTGGGGCAAGCCCATTTGGGGCTGCAAGTCGGGTTAGGGTTCAGACCTAGTTGCTTATTTTGAGGTGGGAAATAAAAGGAAAGAAAATGGTATATAAATTCACATCTTCAAGATAAGTCAACAAGTAGTGAGACTAGTCTAAACTGTCAAAGGAACCAAAATTTTGAGTTATCCAGTCCGGTCCGGTCCGGCCGGGTGTTGAAAGTACTACTGTTGTATGGTAAGAGTGTTTAATACACGTGAAATAAACAAGCACAACAACTTTTGAGTCAAAAAGGTTTTCTCTTCATTGAAATGTGAACTATGAAAAGGTGTTTGTGCTCTGTAATACATATTATTAATGAACATACAAACATGGGTTAATGCCCAAAAGATGATCAAACCACCTTAGCTTTTACATTCTTTTGTGGATCTTTGTCTAACCAGCAACTAAAGTTTTAAATTCATTGGGAAGGGAAACGGATCAAGAAAAGCTTAGTTCGTATCTCAGATATAAGTGTTTGAGAATGTATTGGGCTCTCTGCAATGTGAAAGCCCAAGAGGACCAAATGATGGGATGTTCTCCCTCTCTCTCTCTTTCTCATTCACTGTCTCGAGAATACAAGCAATTCACACAGAATACAGAAAAAGGGGGGGAGGGGGGATGAGTGTATTTGTTTATACACAAATCCATATAAACAAAATAATTTATTGACAGGGGAATAAGGGGGAATACCGTAGCCTAAGAATAGAAGGGAATGTGGGAAAACGCCAAAAGGAAAGTACCCAAAACCCTAAAATTCCTTATGTTTGAAGGGCACCCCTTGAACAACGCATGCCCATCAAGCTGACAAATACAAAACAATCCTCTCTTTCTCTCTCCTTCTCCTCCTCTCTCTCTCTCTAACACGCACAAACACACATTCGCACATATATATCACTCTTAGTTGTTTTTATTTCTGTTTCTTAGGCTCACCTTTTCAAGCTCTAAACATGGATTCTCTCTGCCAGAACAAAACCCATCACTTCCATCAAGAGATAGTACTTTTTCTACTTTCTTGCTCTACTTACTTTTCTCCTTTTATCAACTTTAGGTCGAAGACCAAGAGAATGTGGGTTTTGTTTACTTTGTTTTATTTCTTTTCATTTTTCTTTGCATGGGAGTAAACAAGACAAATGAACTAGCCCATCTGTTTTTTTTCCAACTTTGAAGCCCACTTTCACCCTTACTGCCATCATTGCAGCTGAGGTGGTGGTGATAACTTTTTTCTTTGTTTAACCTTTTTGGGTAGGGTTGAAGGAATGTTTCTTTGCTTGCTCTTGTAGATTTTCTTTTATTATTCTTTGTCTCTCCACTTGACTTGGACCGGCCCTTATTACCAAGAGAGTCTCTGTTGAAGGAACAAGAAAAGCAAGCCACACACTGTAGACTTAGAGCCCAGCCCCAAAACTATTCCCTTATCACACTGCCTAGGTTTATTATTGCTAATAAATTGAGTTTAACTTATCTCTCACCATTAGTAAACCGAGTCCAAATTTCCTACCCACGACAACTCTACTCACATAACATCGAAGCCACACACATGGGGAACATCTTATTATGTATGGGAGATGTTTCCAATGCACGAATGTAGTGTGAGATCCGGAGTCTAACAAACCTGATAGTCTTTCTTCCTATTTGGGATGTGAACACTGATTACTACTTCCATAAGTGGAAAAATATCATACTGGTTTGTTCATGACTTCTTTACCAAACACACATTTAGCATAATCAGGTGGCCTTGAGTTCATGATCAATTACATCATTTTGGATGGATTGAAAGCTTATGGAATCCATCTCCCCATCCACCCAAAAAAAGAAAAGAAAAAAAAAAAGAACAAAAGGGAACTTGTGAATGTATGCTATTATATCTATATTTTGAGAAAAAAAAAAGGAAAAAGATGATATTTCCAGATGTGATCAAGTGACCTTTTGCCCTAGAATGGCTCATAGGCCATACTTATTTTTATTTTGGGCATCTTTTCTTCTTTCCTTTTTATAAAATTTATATATTGTATCAAAGGAACTGGCTAATCTTTCATTGAACATCTTTTTTATCCAACTGGTTCAACCAGATGATACCATATATTGGATGAGATTCCATTTTGTAAAAGCGTATCTTAGTAAAGTAGATTTCAGGCAATTAGTTTGGTAAAGAAAAAGACATAAATGGGTTGGTTACAGAACTACCAAGACATGGACATCAGTAGATAGAGACAAAAGTTGTTTCTGTTCACTTGAGGACCGTCTTCTGTAGAGAATATGCTTCCCATATTACTATTGTATGGACTATGGACAGCCATCCCTCAAGCAAATCCATGGCTTCGGTTTCAGTTTGAAACCTGAGAACCCAAGAACATGAGTGTTTTAAAAACAGAACCTAGTCTACTACACTTTGGTTCATTTATTGAACCAGAACCCTTTAAAACCAAATAGAACTGATGAACTTGATTGCTTGACTGGAAAATTCATGTGAACCCACTGGTCTGATGGTAAATTAATTTAACATTTTTCTTTATTTTTTGTTCCATGTCACTTGGTCACACAGATTGGCCTAGACCAGCTTGAACTGGACCAGCCCTTTTTGAATGCCAAGAGTTAAACTAAATCAGCCATCAGATTAAGCAAACAGAGAAGTGACAACATGTTATAATTAAAGGAAAAAGGGACATTAACCACTCATTTCAGGTTGTCATACTCCAAAATCTCTCTCTCTCTCTCTCTCTCTCTCTCTCTCTAATGGCTTGGTTTTGAGGGATCATAATTGCTGCAAGAACACGTACAAGAACACATTCATTAAGTGGATGACCAAGGAGGAAAACCTTGGATGTCCACCTCACGTGGATTTGGTCATGAATCTATCTGAAAAGTATGACATCAATTGAACTGTGAGATTGGTATGACAATAATAGCCAATTACATCCATCTACCTAATCTATTATGGATGGTGAATTGACAAGTCTTTCTTCCGTGGATGCCACATCATATTATCTAAACTTTGATGAAGCTTTGAGATGGGGTGGGGAAAAAGGGAAAAGTGAGAATGAATTCCAGATAATGGTGAAGCTTAGAGTTTTTGTCCTGATAAAAAGAAAAAGAAGAAGAATAAAATTCTTTAGGGGTTTATTAGCTTGTTCCTGAAAGTGTAAGCCCACTTGAGTCATTTTTCACTCTAGGGTTTGTGATGTTCCTTCTCCCCAAGTCCAAAGGAAAATAGTAAATGACCCCTTGACAGTGTAATAATGATGTCCTTGGTCCTCACCCCCTTTCATTTGCCTTTTATAATTCACAATTGCTTTTCATCTTCATGATGATTCAATCCATCTTCCTATTTAATCTCATCTTTTCATTTATTTATTTATTTATTATTTGATCTCATGAAATTGGTGTCTGATGTTCCCCAAATAATTTGCTTCCATCATTGGGTATTCAGTGGTGTGCATTTCTCAAACAAAACGACACCACTGAAGTGAATGAATAAATGAAATAAAAAGCTCATTTGATTCCTTTTTAGATGCTCTTTCCTCTCATCCTCTATATGAGAAGCCATCTCCATGATTCTTCTAAACCATTATCACAGACAAAGAAACTTCAGGATCCTAGCACCCACCAATCACTAAGTGGGACCGCATAGAATGACTTGCCATAAGCTTTCCTTCATAATTGGAAAATCTGGGGTAACCAAACAACAACACATTGTCGACCAATGCAAGGTTTGATGTAAAATACCGTATCGTTACATATCCTATGACGTAACGTAGCGGTTTTTAAACCCATTGATATGCAGTTTACAGGGTCTTATGTATTTTTATGTTCAAACATAAGAGACCCTCCTAACATGTCTATGGTTGAAGCCTCGATCCAAGAAAATTGAAAAAAATGATTGTTTGAATACTGCAATATGCAAAAATTGTGTATCACATGTATCGATACTTTGAACCATGCATCCGTGTAACAGTTTAACATCAATTCCGATCCACCCACACAAACTCTACCCACGCCTCGCTACAGCTGTATATTGAGAACATCTCCCACATTTGCATGTGTCATATGGATAGGAGATGTGGATTGGTTGGAACATATGGGGTAAAGGATAGGACATGGCATGGCAGCACGCAGCACACAGCACATGCAAGGGTTTTCAGGAAAGCAATGGAAGCCAGCAAGTTGATGGAGTGTTCATATCATATCAATCCCATACACTCATCAAGGTGGTATTGGTATGAAAACACATCAAACAGCCAAAGCATACTTTCTCAGTTAGCTTCTGAGAGTCGCTATGTTTACAAGTAAATTTACAAATAACCCTAAAGTGGTGGTGCTTCTTTCATGCGTGTGCTGAATTTGTCGGACACCTTTTGATTCGGAGAATTCGCTTGCCTCTTCTCTGGTCGTCCAACCAGTTGTGTTATACAAATGACAAATGATGGGATCTCTTACTTGACACGTAGTAGCACAGTGGATTTTGAATGACACAGGAGAAGCATACCCAACGCCCTCCATATTCCCATTCCTCACCACATTTCAACTCCTGGGTCCAATTCAAGCGCTTACATATCTAAAAGTTTATAGCTCAAGAAAGAATATTATGGAAAAAAATTGAAAAAAAAAAAAAGAACAGTTGGTTACTGGATTTGATGCTTCAGTTGATTGCTATAAGTCTGCATCACTCATCAAACTGTGATCCAACCTGAGCTCAGGTAAATGTAGTTCATCACTAATTTGATTTATTTCTTGGATGTCAATATAATTCAAAATTCAGAAGATTCCACCATTTGGTTTTTCCCAACCTCCTACTTGGTTTAACCTGTGAGGATTCATTCCAAAATACTATGACCCAGTATAGAAGTAAGCTTCAAGAGGCTCAAATTTTGGAAATGAGAAATTCATTAAGGTTGCCATGTCACAAGTTCCCCAAAAAATAACTCCCCATGGTGAAATCCCCGATATTTCATTAAAAAAAAAGCTGCAGCAAATAATAATCTATATCTACGTTACACATTCATCACACCTGAAACTGAAAGGGGCCACTATCAGCTTGCAATCCATCTGGACCAGTCTGATCCCTACCCACAGGAGGCCCTGCGTGCAGTTCCAGGGAACTAATGCTGTTGAACTTTTTGATCTATGACAAAAAGAAAAGGAAGGGTTAACCCAAAATTTCAGTGATATGATAAATCCTAAGCATCTCCTGACCGACCTTCCCTCCTGGAACGGAACCTAGCAGGTGGTTTCTGTTCATTCAATCCTCTAATATTTTCAATGTGATCATGCCGTGTCACGATTTTTAGAGGGTGGGCCTCTGTATTGAACACCCATTCATCCAAAGGAATGACAGAGGAGGGTGAAAACAAGAGGTAGAGATACTTGAGCGTCTCCGCAAGGAAGAAGCTTTGCATCATGTTGTCTTTAACACCTGTATTGACCTGAAAAAGAAAGCAGCAGTAGTGAGTAGGACAGTACAATATCCATTCCTTAAAAATCATAGCTAAATTATATCATGTATCTTCACATACTCCTTTTTGTGCATAAATTACTTGATTTGTGCTATGTTTAAATGTCAAGGAACCACTTTTCAACTTTATTTTTTTGTTAATAAAAGAAAATGATACAGAAGGCAGGGGGTAGCTTGACACATTTATTTATTTATTTATTTTTGTCAACTCATTGAAGTTTTATGGATTACTCACAGATTTAGGAGAAATCAACTCTTGTATTAATAAAAGAGCTGGTTGATAGTAGACAAGGTCAATAGGTAACTTTTCTTCAAAATCCAGTTAAGTATGTTCTGAATCTATGGAAAAATCCAAAGAATAATTGCTGGTTTTCTTCTAGTAAGAAAGAACTACCACAGAATAACAATTAACAAATAGAAAAAAGAAATCAAGTTCTCCAACACCAATTTGAAGAGGAGCATTCTGCTATATAACTGTGAATAGAAATTTGACAATTACTAAAATTGCAAATGAGTTGCTTAGAATCCCAATGGAAATAGAGGTAAGAATAGAAACCTGATAGAAGGTCAGAAAAATAGTAGTTGACTCAAACCAATAGTTTCCAAAACAAAATAGGAAACTACTAAACCTGTGTGACATGACTAAGACAAAATCTTTTAAAATTAGAAATTGATAAAACTATTAATTATAGTCCCTCTGATCTGGGACCTTTGGAAAAATGTTGTTTGGGGAAATGCATGAGCTCGGTTCTGATTGTCAAACTACTACCATTTTTGTATATATTTGCACAGCATGAACCTAATCAACTAATTGGAAGAAAAATTTTTGGCCAGAACTTTTTGTTTATATTTCCTCAAGAAAAAAAAAACAAATATATCTCTTTGGTGGACTTTAAGATGCTTTCTTTGTAAAATACCAATCATAAACAATCAGTCACTACACATTATTCACTCGTAATATCATATATGTTGTAAGGCTTACTTAATTGTTACTTTATAGCTGCTGTTAGTAGGCTGTTGGACAGTTACTTGTTTCTTTTTTCTTCTTTTTTCTTATTATTCTAATTCTAGGATATGCCGCCAGGGGCATACTTGTAATTTATGATTCTTTTATGAAGTTAATATAAATAGAAAACTGGCGGTAGCCAGTAGTAACTTTTTCCTCTCAACCATACATCTCTCACTCTCTCCCAATCCCCACGAATCACCACATGGTATCAGAGCAGGTTTTCTAGGTTGAAAAAGACCTACGATCCCTCCTGCCCTATTCTTAAAAAGTGTTTGGACGTGGCAGTTTCTGCAGAAACCCTAGCAGGTTTCTGGCGGCAGCTTTTGTGATTTCTTTTTCTTGGCCGTAATAGAAAGAAAACCCTAGTCGGAGAAGGGTGATGCTGGTGCAGACTCCTCTGTTCGATGCTGTGAAGTCAAGTTCAGATTAGCACCTTCGTACAAGTGCTGAACAGGTGTGTTTTTTTGTTTTAGTTTGTCTCAGCCTTCTTTGGCCGATGGTGCGTAGGGCTCATGCCTTGATTATATAGTTAT